AAAAAAAAAATAAAAAAAAAAATAAATAAATAAAAATACTTTGTTGCTAAAAAATGCCAACCGTCATCTGAGCTTTAAGCAAGTCGTGATGACTGGTCACAGATCACCATAACAAATACAATACTAATGAAAAAATTTGAAATATGAGAATTACCAAAATGCGACAGAGACACAGAGCGAGCAAATGTGGGGTTCCCACGAACCTTCAATGTGTTGAAAACACAGTATCTGCAAAGCGCAGTAAAATGAGGTATGCCTGCATTTATAAAGTAGAAGCAGCCAATGGCCGAAGAAAATAGGACATACTCTTTCTAAAAGGAACAGGCTTCTTAATCATACTTTGCCCAGAACTTATTCTTTTCTTTTTTATTTTAGAGAGAGAACATACGCAATTGGGGGAAAGGGGCAGAGAGGGAGAGAGAGATAGGGGTTGAAGAGAGAAAATCCCAAGCCCGATGTGGGGCTCCATTCCACAGCCCTGGAATCATGACCTGAGCCGAAATCAAGAGTTGGACGCTCACCCGATTGAGCCACTCAGATGCCCCTAGAAGTTATTATTTTCTAATAAAAAAAAAAATCATGGCGAGAAAATTGCGAGAGAAAAAAATTATTTATATAAGATAAAATTGTTATTTACAATACTTTGCGATCTGATGAGTAAAGGAGATCTTAAGGAAGTTCCTTAGGTTGCTAAGCAGAATGATGATTGTGAAAATGTAAGATAAGGGAAGCTGAGCGAAATCTAAATGGCTAGGCGTAACAAGAGGAAAACAAATAAGTTATTAATAAAACACGGTGTTAAATATGACTGTTCCCAAGGGCTCAGAGTTTCAGCAAAGGCTTGAAAGTTAAGAGAACAAGAAAATAGGGGCTAAGTTAGCCTCACATGCTCAAGTAAGATGGTACACCAAAACATGCTAAGATATGGTGAAATGGTTATATCACTAAAATTGGCCTGCCAACAGAAAGCACCCATTGCCGAGTTATATAAGGGAGGGCCAAATAACCATTGTTGAAAAAGACGGAGGGCACGTAAGGTTTGACTTAATAAGCCTGTGGTACAGAGCAGGGAGAGACATGGGGAAAGTAAACAGAGAGCTGCAGCTCCACCAGTGACGGGACAAAGGTACACATTTACCATAAGACAGTTATGGGTCTTGTGGGAGTAAACAAAGCTGAGTCGTCTTGAAATGGATTCTGCTCAAGAGGATTGCCAGCTTGGTTGGTGACCCAAAAATAGTTATTGCATCAGACGCTAGGGTCCGGATGAAACACAGTCATAAAGAACCAGGGAGGAAATGTATCATCCATAACTTGAAACCATCTTAGCACCTCAGTGG